ATGTATTTAAGGCAGTAAGGCACAGCCATCTGTTAACCCCCCCCCAATCTATTTAAAAAACCAGTACTTGAGGGAAGTTTGCCTGACAAGAAAAGTCTTCACCTGTCTGCGGAAGAACGGTAAAGACGAAACAAGCCTGGCTGCCTGTGGGAGGGAAATCCAGAGTCTGGGAGCAGCCACAGAGGAGGTCCTCCCCCATGTCCCCACCAAATGCACTAATAGGGATGGTGGGACCAAGAGGAAGCCCTCTCCTGATTATCATAACAGCGAGCCAGCCAGGCTCATAAAGGAGACACAGTCCTTGAGATAGCTTGACCCCAAGCTGTTGACTTTATAGGTTACCACTTTGAACTGTGCCCTGGAATGGATTGGCAGCCAGTAATAAGGGGTTATGTAATCCCTGTGACCAGCCCCAGTTAGCAATCTGGCAGCTCCGTTTTGGACCTGCTGAAATTTCTGAACACTTTCCAGAGGCAACCCCCACATAGAGTGTGTTACAGTCATCGAGCTGGGATGTAACTAAAGCATCTCTCACCATGGCCAGATCAGACCTCTCCAGGAAGGGGTGCAGCTGGCGCACTAGTTCTAATTGTGCAAATGTACTCATTGCCACCACTGAAACCTGGGCATCCAAGCTCAGAGATGAATCCAGGAGCAGCCTCAAGCCACACACCTGTGTTTTCAGAGGAAGTGCAACCCCATCCAAGCATCCCTATCCCTTGATCTGCCTGTTGACTGACCAGGAGCACCTCTGTCTTGTCTGAATTAAGTGTCTGAATTAATTCTCTGTGTCAAACAGCTGTAGGCTCTTGTGAGCTGTCACCAACATATCACTGAGAAAGAGAATCCCCTTTCTGCTACTCTCTGTCCCTGTTCAGCCAGGGAGAAACTTTTGCCGCAAACCTGACATGTCCTCTATTTGTGAGGACAGGGAAGAGTTTGTCTGGTCAGAAAGATAGTGGAAGAGAATTCTGATGATGGCCTCTCCAGCTCTAGTTCAAAAACCATGGAATGGTAGAGGCTGACACCAAGTGGCCATTTGGGCAAACAACAATGTAGGCATGGCTAGAAGCTCTGAGAAACTTAAGGTGCAATCTGGATAGTTCCCAGGGTGGGTGCCTGATTGCGAGTTCCCTTCTGTCTGCCAGGAAATCACTCCAGCCCAGCCTTCAAAAGAAGAAGGGCACAGATCAGGGTCGGGATGAAGAACATTTCCCCATACATAATGGGATCACCAGGAAATAGATTGCACCAGATTGCTCCACAAGCAGTCTAAATTGCAAACAATTTCTCTGTGTGATCATACCCTTAGATACCCAGTGTGGTATGGTGAACAGAGTGACAGACTAGCAGGAGACCTGGGTTCAAAACCCTGCTTAGCCATTGTAACTCACGGCAGGGGTGCAGGAAGGAAATGATAAAACCACTCACTTATATTGAAAGCCTTGTTAGGGGCTCCAAGAAGCAACATTTAGGTCTAGTCTGTAGTTTCTGATTGCAGTAACTGAGCCTTGAAGCTATTTCATTTGGCATATTTAACGGGTACCATGTTTTCATAAGGGAAACAATTTCGTTCCTCTAGTCGTTTAGTCGTGTCTGACTCTTCATGACCCCATGGACCAGAGCATGCCAGGCCCTCCTATCTTCCACTGTTTCCCGTAGTTGTGTCAATTTCATGTTGGTTGCTTCGCAGACACTGTCCAGCCATCTCATCCTCTGCCGTCCCCTTCTCCTCTTGCCTTCACACTTTCCAAACTTCAGGGTCTTTTCCAGGGAGTCTTCTCATGAGATGGCCAAATTACTGGAGCCTCAGCTTAAGGATCTGTCCTTCCAGTGAGCACTCAGGGTTGATTTCCTTTAGAATTGATAGGTTTGTTCTCCTTGCAGTCCAGGGGACTCTCAAGAGCCTCCTCCAACACCACAATTCAAAGGCATCAATTCTTCGGCGGTCTGCTTTCTTTATGGTCCAGCTCTCACTTCCATACATCACAACAGGAAAAACCATAGCTTTGACTATTCGGACTTTTGTTGGCAAGGTGATGTCTCTGCTTTTTAAGATGCTGTCGAGGTTTGTCATTGCTTTCCTCCCAAGAAGCAGGCGTCTTTTAATTTCGTGGCTGCTGTCTCCATCTGCAGTGATCATGGAGCCCAAGAAAGTAAAATCTGTCACTGCCTCCATATCTTCCCTTCATTGGCTTCATTGCTTCACTGCTTCTGCTTCAAGGGAAACAATAGTACACACTAAATGTTTTCAAACCCAACAGTTATGTATCGTAACCCATCCCAAAACAGCTATAATACCTGACCTTTAAGAACAGGTTGGTTACTAGTACCACAGTGGCTCTGTTCAGTCATGAAGGAAGCATTTAGAGGCCACATGTTTTGAGGGAAGCACATTACAGTATGTTCGCAGTCGCCTGAAAAGAGAAAGGATGCTCTAATGAGGTGACCGCTTCACATGAGCCCAACCCTGCACTCCCATTGCAGGCTGATCCATGTAGAGAGTTGACCCAAATAGAAGCAACCCCCTTTGCTTCAGATTGTTGGGCTGCCATATTTACTGTGGTGAGGGAGGGGCAGGATTCTCCCTTCATGCATGCAGACCTCACACACTTCTGTCAACAGTGGCCTGCTAGCAGGAAGGCTTTCTGAACTTGCCTGTTGAAGAGATATATGCAGAGAAGCACAATGGCTGCCGCGTGGTATGATCTTCAAAAGAAATACGTCATCCCTCAATACCTCCTGGGCTACTGCCTAGCAGTGGTGCAGGTAACTATATACTCAAACCTTAATCGTATTATCCTATACCTGTACTCCAAAGGTTATATGTGGGCTGTTACTTGGCACTCTAAAGCCTTGCTCTGGATGGCACCACTGCTTGGAGATAGGAAGCCCAGTGGCCACGCTGGCAGTCAGATTCTGCAAGAGTTAGTCCAAAACCTAAAAGCCTTCCTATTTTGTGAACTAGTCCAATAGCTCTCTGTCCCCCATCCAACCCCACCCTTCATAGTGAGCAAGGCTGATACAGCAACCTTATCCTCTGAAGGACAGCACCCGAGTATGTCCATTGTTAGGCTAGCTCTTACATAAAGCTCTTTCCTGAAATTTCTTTATCGGTTGAGTCTTAGTGTTTCATGAACTACTAAGGTAATGATTATTCTGCAAATGACATCTTGGACAATACTTTGGTGTGTGAAATGCGAAGGTCACTGATGGGCCACATGCCACACTGTTTTCCAATAGATGCCTGGAAATGAGGCCTGCAGAATCCCCAGAAGAGCCGAGTGTGCCTGTAAGTGGGTGGTTTAACATGACCACAGACTTTTGTGGTGTTCATGATCTGTTCCCACCAAAACAAAACTCCTTAAATTGAACTGAGCATAAGGTGTTTTGTAAGGAGAACCACATATTGGAATTTTGTTAGTCACTAAACATACGCAACTAGGTTGTTTTTGTTATTCTCATTCTGCTTTCTTCCTCCTCTGTACTCTCCCTCCTTTTCTCTCCATTCTTTCTCCTTTTCTCCATCTTCTTTCTACTGGTGACCTCCCAAGTCAAATCTCTTAAAAACAAACAAGGAAACACAAATAGCTGTAATAAACAATACAGGAGGCTTACGTAGTCTTGTAGGCTGGGAGATTCACTTCACAGAATCAACATTAAGTATAGGTTTTCTCTCTCTTCTGTGTAATGACCCACCTACCACACTATGTCATGATAATCCAATCCTAAATAATCTGTGGAAAAAAAAACCCAAAACCCACAGAGGAAGAGGGAAGGAGGTTTTAATCTGAATCCAAGGTGGACAGGTTGTTACCTGGAGAATTATGAGAGTTTTAGCCCATCTGCATATTTCCATATCATATCCTTCTCCATCCTGAGCCTCCTGATGTGTTGGAATCATGGCCTACTGTCCCAGCCCCACCCCAGTTAGCTGAGGATCTTACATGTTGCCCTGTTCATTGGGAAGGCTTCAAGCTCGAGAAGGCTGACATATCACAATGGTACAGTATTAGCTCACATTAGAAAAGGTGTCTTCCTTTTAACATTGGTGACTGAGAAGACTGTAGCCCTAGAGGAGCAGCTAACACTTCACATGATGTGATAGGTTAGAGAGAGTTTGCTCTACAGTCTCCAAGGCATTTGAAAGGTTAATAACTGATTCTTTTCTGTGAAGTCTGGGAACTGCTGTGAGACCATGATGTGCTGCTAAAGGATCTGGTGACATTTGCGGCCCTTCAGAGATCTGATCTCTCTTCCACAAAATGTCAGCTTCTGGGGATATATCATTGTGAATGCCGAAAATGTGAACAAAACTTTCCCTTAAATTTAGGGGAACTGGTTTAATGGACCTTTGGGAAATAATTCAAGAAGCCCTAATTCAGAACTCAGCCATGCCAAGAGACTAATAGTTTTCAGGGTGACATAACCAACCTCCTTTAAAGAAGAAATGTTTAGGTTTCTCATCACTTCCCCCTGATATTTATTTGTGCAGAAATAGCCAGTGTTTGGAGCATGGTTTCATATAACATTGTTGGGATGATATAGGAAGTTATTTATTTGTGCAGAAATAGCCAGTGTTTTTTTGATCTCTGGAGCATGGTTTCATATAACATTGCTCAGATGATACAGGAAGTTCATGATAACATAGGCTCCTTCCCTCCAGATTTTTGACCTACAATCCCTGTCATCTCCGGCCATTGGTGCTTATGGGTCGAGGTGGTGGATGTCATAGTCCAGATATCTAGAAAAAGCCAAGTTGGATAAGGCCGCTGTAAGGAATAGTCGCAAGCAAGAAAGTCATCAAACTGAAGGATCTTGCAGCTGACTGACCTTTGTGCAGCACCTCAAACAAGATTGAGAACGTATAGGTTATATCCCCTGTCGTGCCTATATTTTCCTAAATACCAGCTCTTTTGTCTGCCATTTCCCCTTGGCTTTGCATCTTCTGATCCCAGAGTGCCACCTGATCATTTCTCTCTCTTCTTTTTACCCGACAGGTGACAATTGTGAGGTGGATAGTCGGGCAGGACGCTGCGTCCCAGGTGTATGTAGGAATGGTGGCACCTGCACCAATTCAGCAGATGGGGGCTTCCAGTGCCAGTGCCCTCCTGGGGGTTTTGAGAAGCCCTACTGTGAAGTATCTACACGCTCCTTCCCTCCAAAATCTTTTGTCATGTTCCGAGGACTCCGTCAGAGGTTCCACTTGACTCTCTCACTCTCGTAAGTTGTCTTCCATCTTGCTGGAGTGGATGGTTCTCCTCAGTCCAAAATCTGATTGCCCTAAGCTTCCGGATTTTAGTTTCTCACTAGATCAAGCTACCTGAGATAAGGGTTCTGTCCAAATATGTGTTCTTTGAGCTGTACTTTATAATCTGGATAGAAAAAAAACAGAAGGTGATAAGGATTGCTAGTCACTTTCTTTTTTTTTACCTGGAAAGAAGGGCTTCTGAATGTCTAATGAATGGAAACCCAGCATGTGCACCTTGGGCTTAGTGACAGGCTTTACTACTGAATGTTGGCCTGTCATTTAAGCAATTAGAGCCCTGCCAGTAAGGCAGAAAAAAAAGATGTCAACTCTATTTTCTGTGGTTGGATCATAAACTAAATATTTTAGCAATGGTGACATGTTCTTGAGGTGACTGTGTCCTGTGGATGAGTTCCAGGCACATGCAGCCCAAGGCAATTTTTCAGTCATAGGCTGTGACTGTACTAAAATATATTAATATGCGTCATCTGATTAAGTTTGTGTGGACGTGGTTTGCCCTACTTCCTGTTTCTTCACTCTGTTGCTTGTGTTAGATTTGCCACCTTGGAGCACAGCGGCCTTCTTCTCTACAATGGACGTCTAAACGAGAAGCACGATTTTCTGGCTGTGGAGATTGTGGATGGACAGGTCCAGCTGAAGTACTCCACAGGTGGGTGTGGTGGATACGTTGACACTCCCCACATGGGAAGTCTCTAAAGATCCTGACTGATACCTGGAGGATCTGGCCAGCTTAGTAATTACAGAATATGGCCCTATTTCACACCTAGTTGCTATAGAGATGAACTATTGATGTTCTTACTTTAAAACCTCCAGCCACTCAGAATGTCCCTCTATCCCAAAAAGAGATCTTATTTTCAAACAAAAGAAAATTTGAATCTCAATACCCTATGGCAAGAAGCCAACTGTTTTTTCTGTACCCCACTAGGGAGAGATGGGTTGTATCTTAATTCCAGTTATAATAATTCGTTCCAAACTTACAACTGTACATATAAATTATCACATGTCAGTCATATGCGAATTTGTATCATCTGCCTCCCTCCTTTTTGGTGCTACAGGAGTGGCCGTCAAATTCTGAGAGCATAAAGTGAAGAAATTACAAGAGCAGATTTATACATAGAGGCATGTAGTGGATACATGGATAGATCTGGGGGAAAAACATGCAAAAAAATGAGGCAGTGAGAAAACATAGTTATATGTGCACCAGAATTTGTGTTTACATGCCTCCCTATATGTTCCTGTTGTGGTGAATCTAAAGGTCCCAAGTAGTCAAATTACATTGCATTACAGAAGATTAATTGAGTACACTTTTAGTGTCAGGTTGAATGACAGAGCAGCATGGGTGGAGAACTGTTCTTCTGTTTAAGCTGTGGTATAAAACATCATCCTGTCATGTGATATAATGAGACCCCCAACCACATCCCTCATTTGTCTGGTTCTGTTTGAAACCATCAAACCTTTTATGGGCTATTCTGCTTCGAAAGTTATGGTCAGATGTAATAAAGTGACTGTACTGAAAGAAATGACTATTCCTTCCTGGATTCTAAATGTATCTGAGTGAATAAGCTGTCAAATTAGCCCGAGTCCCAAAATAGAAACCTAGAGCATCCACTGCCTTGCTTAGTTGCAAAAGATATATATATACACTGAATGGTCATATATATATATAATATATATATTATTGATGTACATTGCTTTGAAATCTTCATTTCTATGTGGTTTATAAACAATTATAAATAATCACACACACACATATATAAAAGCATCTTCTGCCTTGCTTAGTTATATATATATCTGTGTGTGTGATTATTTATAATTGTTTATAAACCACATAGAAATGAAGATTTCAAAGCAATGTACAGCAATAATTTTGTACCATATGAAACACATAAGCTACAAAATGTGCAAAATTAAAATACAACATGTATGTTGTTCATGAAATTGATAGTAGGTTCAAGTAAGTAGGAATGACAGGTAAAAATAAGTGAGTTTGAAGACTGAATCAGAAGACAATCAATCTCACCTGTGATGGGACAAAGTTACGTGGAGGCATAGAGAGGGCGACCACTGTCCATGTATCTGTGCTCAGGGGTCCCCAGCAGCCATGACACCATGTGGGTGGAGTAGGCTCCGTGTCTCCAGCTCTGACACTGAAGCCTGTCACATAATGAGAATGCCATAATACAATATCACTGTCTGCTGTCAGGATGATGTTGACTTATGGCAACCCTTGCCAGTGTTTCTGGGTAGAAAGTAATCAGAAGTGGTTTCCAGTTCCTTCTTCTGGATTCGGCTCTAGGACGGTGCAGATTGCCCCAGGCCACGTAGGCTAGCTCTCCTCCTGGGAGGCATCGTGGAGAATCAAACTGCCGGACTCTGTGCACTGAGCTATCCAGCCATTAGGGTATCATATGGAAAAGTCTAATCTGTATGCCATCTTCGCTAGATAGGATATGGAAAAAAAAGCAATGAAGATTTCTACCAATGGTGTGCATGCATGCGTGCGTGCGTGCGTGCGTGCGTGCGTGCGTGTGTGTGTGTGTGTGTGTGTGTGTGTGTGA